GGGAAGCGACCTGGGACCCATTTTGTACCTATTTTACACTTGTGACATATCCCAGACACAATGGCTATATTTTCAGATGATAATGTCTTCTTAGCGATAGACAAAGATCATGAAGAGGCTGTAAATAAACTACAAACTACAAACTATTACCATCAAATATATCAAGAAACTTGTCATCTATATAAATTAGATAATTTTGAATATCTTTTTAGTATTCCATCCTGTAAGCTTACAAATCAATAATTTCTATAAGACATTCTACTATTTATTCCTTTATAAACAAATTCTTGTAATACCCCTGGTTTAAAGTGGATACAAACTCATTAATACAGTGTTTTACTTCAATGAACGAAGGCACATCCTGTTAATGTTGTTTCAAGTTAAATGTCAAACCGCGAAAAGGATCTGCTGCTTTTTAAAAGTATGTAACCTTAACTTTGAAACATGATTAATAAATACAGCTTTTTTTATTCCATATGATACTATAATTAAGGCTGTTTATTAAAGTTGACAGTAGCATTTAAAAGCTCTTTATTATTTCTAAAGATTTGAATAGATTTGAAAAATGGTATGGAATTATGATGAATACCAGGAAATTATAGTTGCATAATTTATTATAAATTATTGTTATGATAGTTCCGTTGTTACTTTATACGATGCTTGTTCACCGGGAGTATTTTTTTGTGACAAAAGACTAAGGATTTTCAAAATTTTCTTGAAGATTTTTTCGAATGTTGTAACAATTAGGGTCAGAAAATATAAAAACAATATCTCCACCACTGCTTCATGCAAAGTCAATAATTTAGTAGTAATAAAAATAACTTTTTTTTTAATGAGAACATAAGATTTTTGTTTTTTATATTTTTAGGTGTAGGTACTATTTTAAAATATGTGTGCCCACATATGATTTCTTAATTAACTGTAAATGAGTAGGTAATAAGTACGTAAGCACACTTTATTCAAATTCAATAAAGTAATAGGTACATAACCAACTATTTGATAAATTACAGTTATAGCCATAATTTAGACAAATCCTACAAAACATTTAAATTATCTACTCATATAATGATTAGTGTGGGATATATATTTACCTTTTAATTAGTCAAAGTAAAAAACGATTAAAAAAATTAATTATATTTTACTAATCACACAATAAATCATTTTTAAAATACTGTTCACCAAATATTATAGGAATAAATTTTAATTTTCAATTGAAAACTATCATAAAATAGTAGGCTGAATCACTATTGCAAGCATTTCTGTTTATTTCTTTTTTCATCTTTAAAATTCCTCTTTATTCTCCCATAGATTTTGCATCAATATTATAGTTGGCAATAAAATTACGTATCCCACTAAATCTTACAGAGAGTAGACAATCTGTTAAGTAATAATTGCAGTTTCTGAGTTAAACTGATTGACAGCCACTATTGTTTATTACGCCAAGATTGTCAGTCGTTGCCAGTATACGCCTAAATTAAAATATCCGACTATTTCTAGACTTGTGTAAGAAAAAACAGCTGGTGAATATGGACTGTAAATATACCAAGTCATTCAAAAAATACATTTTGTTCAATGTTGCTTACAAATTATAGTTAGTATTTTCTGTCTCATTAATTTTATCAGAATGTACACTAATTTTAATTCAAGTTGTATTTTCTTGTCATACATTATCTCAGAGAACAATAATTTGGCTTTTCTAGATGGGTGACATAGCGACGCCATGCCAGTGGCTTGACGCGATCTTTTTCCAAGCGTTCATTAAATAATATAAACTAGTATTGTGTGTATGTATTTTTTTACTTTGTTTATTATCTAAATGATACATTTAATGCATTTATTACCTAAGATATTTTAACACTTACTATGACTGTGGCGATTTTTAGGCATATTACTGTGACGCAGATGAACTTTTTACTATTTATGATTTTTGGGGACAATCTATATAAACAGCTAACATTCTCTATTGATATATTATGTATAGTCGTTAAAAGGTACTACGTATTTAAATTTATCTAAAAATCTGTTTCTACGGATGAATTCATAACAGTGATTTCTAATGAACTGATAAATCGTATTGTATTTCGGTAAAAGTACATACCTAATATTTTGATTGCAATTTTTGATAAAGAAGAAATCAAATTAATGATCTCGGTTGAGTACCCTCTTAACAATTAAAATACAATTATTATTATATAATTCAATAGTCCATTATTGTTTGTTTATAATTTTGAACAATGGTTGAAAACATGATGATTAATGCTAATTATCCAAAATAGCACTAATGTGCTATAGTTATTAGTGAGAACAATAACTTATTTAAATTATTTATTATATAATAAATAGTTCAATGCAAATATTCACAATAGGTGCCTAAAAAAAGTTAAAAAAGTTGAGAAAGTTGATTTATATGAGGATTTGTCACACACTTGTTTTATTTCCTTATTTTTATGTAAAAATATGTATATTGTTGATTTGGTTGAAAAAAAAAATAAATGAGGTAACCTAAATGAGGTACCTAAATGAGGTTGCCTGAATAAGGTCACCTAAATGATTAGTTAGAGCAGTTTGCCTGGTTTACTGGTTTCTAGTAAACTCCATATGTACCTAGTACCAGTACATATGTGCTAGTAATATGGTATTGTTCTTATACTGGCTAGTAGATTCTCAGTGAGTTTTATGAACTCTCTGGCCTGTCTCTATTTCTGATTTTTTTTTATCATCCATTTCTATGTGCATGTTCTAATAAATGTCACCAAAGAATAGTTTTGAGCCATGTTAAAGAGCTTTTGAGGCTTCTTCTTTGGCTAGTAGATCCATTCTTTTTATTGCCCTTATTGTGACTAATCAATTTTGTTAGAGCTTCGATAAAGTTAGAATACTAAATTTGATTAATTTTAAATTCATGCCATGGAAGTAGATACATCTATAATACGGTTATAATATAATAGTGTGTTACATACTGTCACTATACTTTCAAAATTAATTTTATTTCTTTAGATCCATGTAAATATTTAATTTCTTTTCTTTCTGTAACAGAAGATTGCTTTGCATCCAAAACATTTTTAATTGATAGAATATACTTCAATAAGCACTGGGAAACAGTAAGAAAGTCTACACAGAACACGAGGTTAACTGAGGTTAACTTCAAAGAAATAAAATAATACTATAAAATTATCATAGCTAGTGCTAAATATTTGTGATTTTTAGTTTGATAACAGTAATTTTTTCAATTAGTAATTTATGGGGTTATGATTGACAACCTGCGTTATTTTTAACAGGTCTGTTATTTTATAAACACACAGAAATAACAACCTGTTCACAAATAACGTATCTGTTAAAAATAACATTTCTTGTCCATCATAACCCCGTATAATATTTCGTTTTTTTTTTTGAGTTAACAACCGTCTATGGTTTGAGTAAAAGGCTTGTCAATGAGTAAAAGTTTGATGTATTTATTGCATACTTTTGTGGTATATGAAAAACTAACTTTTTGTTCGCTCAAACATTTTTAAAGTCGAAATTTATCCCTTGCTCCATCCATGACTATCTGTACTAAAATAAAAGAAACATTTTGCAGATTTCTCTATCAAACACTTGTGAGTCGCGATTACAGTTTTCTGCTATAATTTCCTATGGAAGAAATGGTTATGTCATTGTTTAAAGAATGGTTATGTTAATACAAATACATGAAATGTTTGAAACTTAATCTATAGATGGCTGGAGTTTACAATAATTCCTCTTGATAGACACTGCATTGTAGAAATTAGTGACTTTAAAAATTGGGTAATTACAGTATTATACTTCTAAAAAGTCTCCTAACAATTTTTTGAATAATAGAACCATTTTTTATTATAATTTATAATAATGTTTTTCAATTTGAAAGGCTTGGGTAAATAGAAATCTACAGTCACTTTACAGTAGAAATTACAGTGACTTTAGAAATTACGTAATTACAGCATTAAATTTGTAAAAAGTCTCTTCACAATTTTTTGAATATTAAAATCATTTTTTATTATAATTTATATTTTTTTTTCAATTTGAAAGGGTTTGGGTGAATAGAAATTACTCCTTATAGTCACTTTACTGTAGTACTGTAGAAATTACAGTGACTTTAGAAATTAGGTAATTACAGCATCAAATTTGTAGAAAGTCCCTTAACAATTTTTTGAATAGTAGAACCAGGCTCGAGTGTATAGAACTTACTCCTTATAGTCACTTCAATGTAGAAATTACCGTGACTTTAGAAATTAGATAATTACAGCATTACATTTGTAAAAAGTATCTTAATATTTTGAATAATAGAACAATTTTTTACGGGTATGAAATCATTTTTTTCAGTTTGAAAGGTTCGAGTGTACAGAAATTACTCCTGATAGTCACTGTACTTTAGAAATTGCAGTGGCTTTAAGAAAGAACATTTTTTTTAAAGCTATGAAACCATTCTTTAAATTTAAAATCTATGTAAGTACAACACTTCCTGGAAAAATGACAAAAAATTATAGATTGGACAGGTCCGTTTTAAAATGTAATTATATTAAAAGTAATTTTAATAAAATTTATTTAGAAAAGATAGTAGAATAAAAATTATTTTTTCTTTTATGAAAACCACCTTTTTATTTAACAATATTTATGTTGAAAGTTCTTTAGAGTTTTTCTAAAGATAACTCAAAATATTTTTTTATGGAAAAGTTGTATTTGATTTGTTAGATACGAAAGATAATTTTTGTCACAATTTAGGACTTTCTAATAGAGAGATTCCCAAACAAAATTTTATTTCTCTGTATATTCAGAAAAATACGAAGCGAAAGAAAATATACGAATAGTTTTGAAGAAATATAAACCTATTTATAATATTGTTTAGTAATTTTTCTTATATACCGACATAGTTTTAAATAAAATATTGAATAAAATTATTCATTGCATGTTTATAAACCATTGTTATGTATAAACCATTGTAAATTATATATCAGCGACATCTATTTAAATTTTACGTTACTCACCTAACGCCGACGTATATTTGTAGTTGTAAACAGGATGAGGTAAAACTTTCTGTATTACCGGCCTCACTACAGGTAAAACCTGCTTGACGTAAGTCGGTACCACTTGATTCAATAGAGGTACCACTTTCTTGATGGCTACAGGTTCCGCCGCTAAATGTACAGATGGCCCACTCTTCGATACCACAGCATTAAAACCGTTTACAGAATCTGCTATGTAATCCACGGTTCGAATGGAACCATCGGGTTCCACTAGAGAGTACTGTCCTTTCACTACGTCGCCATCTCGGACTTCTTTTTGGCTTTTCACATCGCCGGTAGATGGATCGTGGACGCCGTATTTGAAGGAGTATTTCGGATGAGACTAAAATTAGTTTATTCATTATAATCAAAAAAATTAAATATGGAGAGGAGTAATAAAAAATGAATAATAACTTTAAAGATATCTAGACCTAAATCGCTATTTGATGGGTACCTTTACAGTATCACCTCTCTACCTCAATGTTTTTTTAAAAATGGATTATTATTTTTTTTTTAACAAAAGGGAGAACTTACATGATAATCCTCTTTTCCTGTATAATCTTCGTATCCTTCATCTGGATATTCTGTTATGGCTCCTCCAAAAACTTCTCTTGTTACTATATACAGTGACAATATTATTATCTAAAAATGTATAATTATTTAAAAATTTGAACATTATTTAAATAAAATTGCAAATAATAAAGAACATTATTTGTTACGATATTGTAGTAAGGATCGAATGAAGTAAATTTTACTTATTAACTAGTCCTTAAAAAACGTATTCTAAATAATTTATCTATATTGGACGTATTAACAATGGTATAACTTTACCCCCCAGAACCTCAGGAATAAAGGACTTTTTGAAAATGTGAAAAAACATTTAAACTTTTATTGGAAAGAGGACAAAATAACACATAAAATTCATACCACGAAAATCCAACCCCTTGAAGCCCGGCAGCAACCTCCTATTTTTTTTTTTTTAATAAAAATAGGAAATTTTATGGAGATTTACGATATGACTTCTGATTTTAGCGCTCTCTAGCGGGATAAAAAATGTTAGTATTTTAACGTGTGACTCTTTATTTGAAAGCTAATTATTAGTACAACACAACAAAACATAACTGAATAAAACTTAAACTTAAATAATTAAAAAATCCTGCAGAGCTGGCTAATGAAATTTATTAAACCCTTGAGTGTATAAAACAGAATAAATAATTGTATTGCCTTCTCTAAGGGGAGGGGGACTGCAGGGGCAAGGCCCTGGAACGACCTAGCCTGTAACCCTAATGAAGCAAAAGAAAACATAACAGTTTACTTAAAGTTGGAGATGAAAATGTGTAAATTAAAATTGCCACTTTTGTTTGCTGAAGGTAAGAGATCCTTGTGTAAGCTAAAATTAATAAAGAACCATATACCAATGTCAAATTAAGGGTGATGTAGGGACTGTTCTCCTCCTGGCACCAATCGCCATCATAATGTATTAAAATTTAAAAACATAAAAAAGACTTATCCATTGTATGACCTTTGTCCGTCCAGCAAAATATCACTTATATATTCTTAAAATTCATTAACATTTTCAAACAAATCCGTGAAATTTCATTTTCATTTGAATGAGTAAATTATCACGATGTTCATCTCAATTTCTAGTAGCCGCTATCAAGATGTGTTTAAAGTTTGTTTATACTTTTCCTTTTTATCGGTTGTGAGTTGTAACAAAGGATTTTAGTGTTCTTTTTATTTACTTAAATAACAAAGATAACAAAGCGTGTATGTGTTTTGCAATATTTATAATTTCATTAACTGTTATTTTACATAGGCAAGATGTGTGTTGAAAAAACGAGAGTGCTACTATTTCATACATATTTGAATATTCTAAAATAAAGAAACTGTTTTAACCATTATGTAAATGCGCATTTGTATGATAATGTTGCTAATTTAGTCCCTTTTTTGTTATTTTAAAATGTTTGAGTAGCTTGGAGTCACTTTATAATTCTTAATTTTCCTTGCCTATGAGTAAAATTTAAGTTTATATGAACAAAAATATAAATATAAGTTAAAATGTTCAAATAAGTAATTACTATTAAAGAATGTACTTACATTAGCTAAAATTAGTTCACATTTGTTCTCAAGAATTTTAGTGGATTTATCAGAAACAATTACAGATTCAATATAATTAATATATATAGGAGGAATAGCTTTGAACCTAAAATTGATACCTGTGATATACCCATTTGTACTAACAAGAGATCAGAATTACAATTTTTACATTGATCTTTACTTGTGGATTTTATAGATACAAATTAAAAATTGCCTTATAAAAAAGACGCTATTTAAAAATAGGGTATGTCTTTTACTACTATTTTCTCTAATCTAGAAAATAAAATATCGTGATTAACCCAGTCAAATGCTCTGCTGAAGTCACAAAAAATCACATCAAGACAGTCACTATCATCAATACATTCAATAATTTTTTCGTAAAAAGAAAGCAAAGCCATGTTGGTTACTACTTAGATATGTTGAGGAACTGTTGAGAAATGCATGCTCAGATATTTTTAATATTTTGGTATATTTTATTAAAGGCAGGAATCTTTTTAGGTGCTTTAATATTTTGCAGAAAACTATCTTGTATCAAAGATTTATTTAGCAGAAAAGTAATGACATTAAATTACGGACTCTTTATATTAGGACTAAATAAAGAAAAAAAGGTATATTTTGTACCATGTTTACTGGCTCAATAACAAAAAAAAATTGAATTATTTTAAACATTTTCAGAAGCGTCTATAAACCACAGTTGTCCTCAATAATTATATTTTAATTTTTACTCATTTGATTAGAAAATCCAGGATGCCCGAGTAATGTTATCAAAAGAATTTATACGATTTTAATAAAAAGATATTTTTTTGAATCCTTTAACTTTTGACCTGATTATAAGTAAAAAATAAATAAATACTTGATATTTTTAAATAATTTTGACTAGAAGAAATAACATCCAATCAATCAAAATTAAATAAAAATTATTGTAAAAGTAATTAAATATTTTATCAAAATTATCATTTTGATTTGTATTAAATTAAATCCCAAAAATAATTAAATTTATTAAAATATGTTAATACATATCCAATACTAAAACGCACCACCCTGTATATTTACCTTGACGCACAACATATTCACTAAGTAAAACGAAAAAAAAATAGAAGAAAAATACGCACTAGCACAAACTAAAACAGTTTTCCCCACGCCATTTCTTTTTATACGTCTCCTATTTTCAGCGCGTATTTTGCCACTCCCCTCCAAAAATGGTGTAAGCCGGCACTGGAAGGGACCTTTCTCAATGTCGGATCTGAAATTTTCCCAAAGATCAGTTCTAGGTTAAGATGATAAGTTCGCTGATTTTTTAGATGATAGGGACGAGCATTGTTAACACTCTTGAAACACTTAGAAAAGTCAAAAATTTTGATTTTATCATAATAATTTGAGAAACATTAAAAGATATTAAATTTGGGAATGTTTAAATTTTTAATTAAAATATAATTTAACGACCCTCCAAAAGACCCCGCCCTTTTACTATGTAAATGGGAGCACCATTAGATTGTCCGAATTTTTTATGTTACATTACCTGATGTCCTGATTTAAAGTCTAATACTATTACTATTACTAGATTTCGACATATAGGTCCTTAAAATAAAAACTTCTGAATTTTCTAAAATGGACACCAAAAAGTCCGTCTTCAAAATTTTTGGAAGTTACTGACTATATTTAAACCCAAAATGCATACGTAATAATCACAATCAAAATATTGTTAATTACAGAGTGATTCCTGCTTCCACAAACCTTTTTTTGTTACACAAAAGACATAAGATATCTAAAACAAAAAATTATCGTTAAAGCTTTTTAGTGTTTGATATAGAATATATCCTCGTTCAAAATCTTTATTGGTAAAATTTGATTATTGGCTAGCTATGGAAATATTAAAATTAGTATAACTGCAGTAAATGTTCTTCATTGAAATGGATTTTTCGATCACCAGCAAAGCGTTCTAGTAGTTGACACATGGCAGATTAAAAAAAAATGACAAATGACAAATTAAAACAAATGACTGTAACGATCGTCAATGGTTCTGGACTCAAAGAAACAAAACCAGAACAGGCTCATAATAAATATATAATGTTATGGACTTGAAGGTTTATAATTATGACCCATACATAATGACAAAGAATCCAGGACAGAGTTGCTTTGGGCAATCATTGACGAACTTAATTCTAGAAGGGGGAGAGAGAAGGGCTCTGGCCTTAGAACCACCTTGGAAAGATACTTGATGTACTTTTAATATTACTAGAGCATGACCCATACATAAAGAGGAAGGGTAGATGAGATAGAAAGAAAAAAGGAGATTTTAAAAAAAGTAAAAGAACTACCTAGATCTATAATAGACAGCAGCAAAGTTAAAAAAAAATAGCTGTGTGTTGGGAACCTGTTCTTCAACCATAGTAATTATGATAAAAGTTACCCTGTTGAATAGATTCCAAAAAAAATTATGAATTTGCTTAAATATAGGTAAAAGAATTGAAGTTATAGGACCAAGTGTTTTCATTTTCTTAATCTGTCTACTACCAGGATACGTTGCTCTTGATTATCTATTAATTCAATTCAATAAAGAACACTTACATATATTTTTTTATCTCATCTAGATTGTAAGTCAAAATCAGATTACTTTAACAATGTTTTTTTAACATTGGAAATTTGAAAATGTTTATTTTATTTTTGTAAATTTGTAACACCCTTTATAATAGCTATGATGATGGTATTGTGAAGCCATATCATTCTTCACCTCATGTTTAACGTGTACAACATTTACATTTTAACCGTCTAAGAACTTTTTTTTGAATTTTTATGCAAAATTTAGAAGACAATAAATTTTATAAAATTATGTGTATTACTACAAATTATAACAGTGACACAAGGCTTATTAGTGTTATGGAATGGACACAAGACATATACTATTTCACAATTATAAATCTGCTTATTAAAATTAATTCGGCATTTAACAATAATTGCTCTTTTTAATTAATTAAATTAGTTAGTTACAAATTAATATTTACTGAAAATTGTAGACTAATCGTTTATACTAATTTTTTAGATAATTTATAAAATATTTTTTAATATTATGTAAGAAATTTAAATTATGGAATAAAACATACAATGAAACTTTTATGTTACTTGTTGTTTGTTTCTGCTGCAATTTTTTTTTTAATATATTCCTTTAATAAACTAACCAAGGTGTTCTCAGTGATTTTATCTTTCGTATATTTTTTATCTATACTTTCTGAATAAACATTATTATTACTAATGTTATTGTAAGCGTTTTCCCCATATTTGACCTGCTCGAACTTCTATATCTTTCCAAAATTCTGTAGTCTGTAGAGAATTGTCTAAAATGTTTTAGTTCATTAAGACTATGTAAATAACTATAATTATTAACTTATGAAGAAGATAGATCTATATTTATTAAAAATCTATGAACAAGCAATTTTCTGCTAAGGCTTAACCAGCGGAAAAACGTTGAGACTTTTTTTCATGAAACAATAAACTGCAAACCGATGATCACGGGAACAATTATTAAAATTATACCATTTTGAATTAATTATAACCTTATTTCGTGAGATTAAAAAAATAGAAGTGCATTGTCTGTGCACTGACTTACGTAATACTCTTTTTAGAAATAGGTTAGTAACAAGATTATATTATTTCCGATTATTACAATTATTTAACTAATATATCGGCTTTCTCTCTTTCTCAAAAAAAAAAAACAATTGCGTTAGTATGACTATGAGAACGAAGAGTTTTTAATGAAAATATAACTAAGAGGAGAAAAACATTGAGGGATATAGATAAATACACTAAATTTATATGGAATTATCCCGTATTTCTAAAAACAAAATGTTTTAAAACTCTCATACATATTCTTACGTAAAAAACATAATAAAAATGATAAAAAGACGGGCCATTTTTTCGTATTTTCATTTAATAGCTGTTACTTATTTATAAGTAATTATAACAAATGAAATATGTTTTTTTAAAGACTATCATGCCTTACGTTGGATTATCTGAGGTATATTATTTACCTCTGGGAAACAACGGATGACTCATTGATTAATAGCTAAAACCGTAAACTTACCTCAAAGTGTTATTTCAAAAAACATATAAAATGTTTTTTGATTTGGGCACACTTAAAAATCGTTTTAGCCGTCCAAAGCTGACTAATCCTTATCAAGAACGATCATTGGAATCATTTTATTGATGGAGTTAAGAAGCCAAATAACACAAATCAAGTCTAAAAGTGCCATTATGATGAAACAAAAGACTCTATCAGCTTAACTGAACAAAGTATGTTGATCTGGTATTGGAGACTGTCATACGGCATTTATACATGATAACGCTTCTTCACATACTGCAAAAAGAGCCACAAGATTCTTTGAAATAGTAATGTATTGGAGTAACCAGACTGTACTCCAGAAGCACACTCATGGATTAAAAAAACAGTTAGTACCTGAGAAACGCCAATGGGTAATTTTTTAGTAAAACTTTAGATTCTTTTCAGTAGGAATACATAAATGTTAATATATATTCTAAGAACACCTTACTAATAAATTCATTCAAATCTGATTACCACACATATGAAAGATGTATCAATCAAGCAATTAGTTCTGTATAATGAGTAGTACTGAAGTAATTAGTCATTAAAGATGATTAAATACACTTACAAAGTCTATATTCAAATGAAGAAGATTAATTCTATGATGTATATAATTATTGTAGGATTTAATTATGATTTATGCATCATGTCAAGATGAGGTGATAGAGGATCAAATCGTTTTAAAGATGTGGATAATAAATGGAAGTACCGTTAGCTATTGTCTTTGTTAGTTGCTGAATAAAATATATTTAGTAAAAAATATGTAATGTAATAATTTTATTGATGTAATTGCACTGAAATTTTATAAATTTTGTAAAAAAAAAATGAAAGGAAAATGTTTGCGTTTGTGGTATTTTCGAAATGGACACAAACTTATCTCTGATTTCAAACTATTATTGATTCAAATATCAGTCGAAGCTGTAGCGCAAGCAAATAGCGAAATTGGAGAAAAGAGTTTTGAGTAAAATACTTCATTTACGGCATTGAATGCTGATTGAAGTCTATGATACGTAATAGCTGCGAGCTTTTGAATATTTTCCTTTACAAATTTTCATAGAAAAACATTTTTCAAATTACTTACAAAAAAAATTCAAATAAATTGGAATGCGCATCTCAATGATCTTAATTCTACTTTACAATGAAACGTAAACTTTTTTTGGCTAATGTATAGAGTTGGTGACAGTTGCCATTGTGCTTTTACCTTGTTGCTATGTACTTCAAAGATTGTTAAATTTGAAAAAATACAAGTTGTCAACAATATCAAATCTGTAGGCTGACTGATGAGCCAAGAGGGGCCTATCATTTTAGGAGGATGCAAAATGGGCTTAGTCAGGCCTAAGTGCCGTATGATTACGCACCCTCCACACGTTACTGATACAGATAGAATACATATTTTAACATTACTTAAAAATCAGTACTCTACTTACTAAACTTCTCATTTGCTCCTCGTAAACAACAGAGAGATTTTTAGAACATTAAATAAGTATCTTTTGTTCGAACAATGTTAACGATTTAATAATTTAATTTTGTAAACAAACAAACGACAACCATAACAAAACAGAAAACCAAGTGTATACAACGTTGCATTGCAAAAATATAAACGTAATTATGTCATAAATAATGGGTGAAATGAAGCAACCATTTCTTTAGTGTGTTACACCTTGTTACTGTGAGAATTATGTCAGTCGCCTTCAACAGAAACGAATTAATTTCAATGTCTTCTAGGGTACGGTGTTATATTTACTATTAATATGAAAATTACTGTTGAAATTGTATGTATGATAGTATACAATTTTTATATAGATTTGTCATTATTAAAAGTAGTATAAAATCCATATTTAAAGTTATTGAGTAAAAAATAGAATCCAAATTTCTATTTTTTTTTATAAATACTTATCTATATGAATTAATATCAGGGTAATGGGAAAATCCACGGTGTAAATATAACAAATGAGCCCCCTCTACATCAGATACCAGAACAAATTAAATTTACTATGGATATGATCAGAATACTAACTAGTTTTAACGATGAGGCACCACTGCACCAGCAAATTCTTGTAATTTTAGGGACATAATGTCAAAAAGTTTGATAATTAAAAGAAACGGAATGCTAACAAATAAAACAGTTTTAAAAATAACTATAATATAAAGTTGACAAATGGTTTATTATAAATAAGTATACCAATACATTACAATTAAGTACTTATATACACTCATATACACTAAATTAAACAATGACGGATCCAAGCATTTTGTTGGTTATGCAAAACACATTATAAATTCCAAAAATTAACCTTCGTAAACTTCAACCTTTTATTTCTAGTGCAGTAAACCTGCGCAAACGACCTTATTTGGTTTATTATTAGATATATGTGTTACAAACAGAATTGGAACCTAGAGACACCTCTCGGCTACATTATTTTTGATTAGCTAAAAGGCAGTCACTATATGTCTCTGAAGGATGCCTAAAGGGAAGTGAGTCCTAAGTAAAGTAAGGCAACCCACCCTTTTCACGTTATAGATACATACTTTGTAATATTGGTACATATCCCCTATAAGCTAAAGTCAGGATACCAGTGGCAGATAAGCGCCTTCTTTTTATCAAGCGACTCTCCTCTATTTTGTTATTTTTAGAATTTTATTCAGTTTTCCTTTTTCTTGAATTGATTTGTTTTTTTTTTCTATCTGTTTTATTTTTTCGTTATTCATAAAAAACTCATTATTATTAAGTTGTAATAAAAATAATACATAGATTTTTAATTAAAAGTGATACATGCAATAAGTTGGTGATAATTCAGTAAATTTTTTTATATAGGTATAGGAATTATCTTCTTAAAAATATTTATATAATAAAGCTTATGAGTTACATAGTTTATATAATTGATTTTTAGTAGTATTTACCTTAATTTGCCCCCTTGTCTCAAGTGAGTCAAAAAGGATGCTTTTAAAATTTAAAAAAATATACTTAATAATTGTCCACCTTGTATATTTTTATAAAAATAGTTCAATGCTTTTATTTTACCAACATAAACGAAACAAAATTTTTATTGGATTTATTAAAATAATATTAAACACACACTTTTATTCATTTATTTTTTTTTAACAAATAAAATAAAAACAATTTTTTTAATAATGCCCATGTCCTCCGTAACCTCCATAATCTCCATGCCCTCCATAAACACCGCCATGTCCGCCATATAATCCTTCATGTCCAGCGTAACCGCCTGCATGACCAATGGCTACAGCAGCTGGAGCCACAGGAGCATGAGCTACTGGCAGTGGTATAGGTGCTGGTGCAGGTGCTGTATGTAGAGATGGTCCAATTTTTTTCACTACAGCGTTAAAACCATTTACGTCATCAGCTGTATAATCCACAACGCGAACTGAACCATCTGGTTCTACAACTGAGTAGGAACCTTTGACTGCTCCACCGTCTCTAACTTCTGATTGGGATTTTTGATCGCCTGTAAGTCCATCTGCTACGCCGTAGTTGTAGGAGTATTTAGGGTGAGCCTGAAAATTATTTTACGTTTCAAAAATAGTTTTCAAATTACTAGTTGTTTCTAAATAAACTTTACATAGAGTTACCAAAGTATCTTACGTAATAGTCAATATCATGACCATTTCCAACGGCAACCGGAATGGGTCCACCATGTCCCAGGCCAGGATGACCACCATAGGAAACAGCTGGAGCTGAATAGCTTACTCCTGTTGGGCCTCCATAATATCCTCCTGCAAGCCCAGCTAAGGATGGAACGATACTAATAGCTAATATTAATAACTGCAAAAAATTAGAAAGGTTTTTAGAAGATTCAAGTTATCTGGCCATTTTTTTGGCCATTTTATTTAAACTTTCAGTGTGGCTCTAAGTACCTAGGTGCTGGTAAAGATATCTAATATCTTAAGTCAAAATTTGTTCTCCAAATCTAACGCCTCCCGCCCCATCAAATCCTATATCAGATTCTATTCCAATCGTGTCATGTTGAAACATACTGTTTTTTCAATTTGTTCTAGTTTTAGTTCTAGTTTAATTGTCTGTTTTTTAGATTTTCTCATCTAAAGCTCAAACAGAGGATTCAGAATTATGCATCCTCTCTCTTTCTACTCTAACGATTTAACAACGTTTAAATAAAAATATAAAATATCAACTTTGGATTAACCTTGTATTTTTGTTTTAAATTTTCTACCGTTTAGTAACTAAATAGTTGAAACAAAACAAATGAAAAATAGGTAAGTCGTGAGTGTAGTTAATCAAAAATGTTTCTATAATTCTGATAAATTGAAAGATTCTAAAACTCCATGACTATAAAAACTACATAAAATGACAAACCTACATGATTGCGAGCTCATGATATCAAACAGAACACAAATAGGATGCTTCTAATAAGATTTATGTGGATTTTAAATCGAAAATCGTGATATATCAAGCAGGTACACCTTCAACTCACGCTCATCGTACGATAAATGTTGCAACGAGAACTGTTCAACAGGGATATTATTAATTTACACTAAGAATTAGAAAATAACAGATAATTATTTAACGCTTCAATTTCTACATCTTCCAATATATGTATATAAAGTATGTATTTCTGGTGTTTTGTAATAATATTAATTTTGCTGGAATAATGTTTACTAAAAATATCTAAATGGCTCAGTCAAAATTTGATTGCCTAACGTTGACTTTACTTAGAAGGGATTTGGGAATGTTACTTTCAGCTACTGCTGTGGATTTCTATCCAATCTGAGGTTTTAGTGAGATGATATCACCACCAATATTATGACAGTAACAATTTAATATCCCAAAAAACAAATTACACACTAACAGTAAAGTGTCAAAAAAATAAAATTATAGGTATGTCAGATACTCATGTTCATATTTGATATTGGCTCTAAGTTGTATTGCAGACTACTTGTGTAAAGAGTATAATAATAATAATAATAATAATAATCATTAGTATGTGGGTTACTGTTCTACGTGACTATAGCTATCTCTTGAATAATATTTGTTATATTCAAGAGTTTGGTAATGTTTTTTATATTTTTACGGTTTTATTCGTTTGATAATATGATTGATAAAACTATTGATGCGTCTACTAAATTTTAAAATAATGGTCAATAATGTGTGGGTTCCTGTTCTACGTGACTATAGCTATCTCTTAAAGAATATGTTAACTGTTGTACGTGACTATAGCTATCTTTTGAAGAATAGAATAAATTATTCAAGTATTTGGATATTGTTTTATTCTTTTCTACGGCATTATTTGTTTGATAATGTTTATTAAATTTTAAAATAATAGTACATACTTTTTATTTGGGTTACTGTTCTACGTGACTACAGCTATCTCTAAAAAAATATTTATTAAATAATTTGGTAATGTTACTATATTAAAACAATAGATCTACCTATTATATTTTAAAATATCAATCCTTGATGTGTGTGTTACCGTTTTACGTGACTATATCTATCTCCTAAGGAATATTTGTTTAATTATTAAAGAATTAAAGAATAGTCTCAAAAGTAAAATTTTTAATTTAGCAACTTGTTTCGCCCAACCAACCATCATCAGATTATGTTAATTGAAGTTAAATCCCAAAATATTTAAAAATAAATAAAAAATATTGTGCGACAGTTATCAGACAGTCAGTAAACATAACATAGGTGGTACAAATATGTTATATTAAATAACATAAAATTATAGTTAAAAAATAGATGTGAGAAAATATTTGTTAAATTTGGGCCATAAGAACTTTATAATATATTTTTTATCAGTTTTAGTAAACTATATTCTATATTAAGAAATAAAATCAGCTATATTAAATCTGAAACAAGTGTTTCTATGTTTTAAATTGATAAATAAAAAGCGTAATCCATTTATATTATAAACCCATTTTTCTCAGTTACTAATTTTCAAAATATTCGTGATCTCGGAAAATTTCTAGATATAATTTGACTTCTAATGATATTATTAGTGAAAATTTTCATGTTAGTGATTGTCATTAAAATACAGGTATAATTAAATCAACTAAAGTATAGGGGTAGTTCATTTTTGATATTTTTTCAATATTAAATATTTTTTGAATTGTGCCGTTATTGCATTCACATAACTATGATAATATTACCTCGGTATATCTTTAATATTACGTAATACTTACTATACAAAATGCCATCGTATAACACAAACAGTTTTACCTGTAAAACTGGGGAGCTCGCCTCCCCATTTATCTGTATTTATAGTCGCTGAAATTTCTTGCCTCTTCACCGCTGAACGGCTGGATATCGCAGACCTCAAGGTCCACACGACTTTTTTTCAGCGATGAAATTTTCTTATTAGCATTGTAGACAAGACTATCATTAGAGAAACCTTATGGTTTTTGTTGCCGCTTCTTGCTCTATGATCTTATTTTATTGGTTAGTCGTGAGGGCTTTACAGGGTGACTCGTTCTTCAGTGATAGAAAAGGGATTAGATAAATATTTATCATACTCAATTACAGTATGAAAATTACTTATGGAATATGCAGTGTTGTCCTTAAGCAACTGTACATATAAGTATAGCAGATTTTTGCATCAATAAAATGTTAATAAAAATGCAGATATAAAGTGAAAATTTTAAAATTTATTTTTAGTTTTTAGCGATTTATAATCAAAATTTTAAAATTGGTGTTTCAACGATAATTTAAAAACACTAAATTTAAAACATTGGCTTTAATCCATCCTTCGCTGAACTAATTAGATTTTGGGCATAGTCAGAGCATATGGAGGGGATACTTTATAGGGGGCATTTTTCTACTTTATAATATATTTTTGTTATTTATGATAAGAGAAGAAAATTTCTTATGATGTCATTCGCCATACTTTTTTGATATACGGGATTTCTCTAAAATGGACCCTATTGAAAAAATATGAGAAAACGTGCAAAATTGTTTTCGTTAAAGACATTTTTAGACTCTTTTCAAATATTCAAATTTTTAAAATTCTATTATACATACAGGATAAAGTTTACGTAGTGAATATAAAAAAATAATAAGTTCAGCGAAATGGATTAAACACCCTGTACAGGCCAAAGAATTTGAGACTTATTTGAATCATCCTATTCATAAATTTGGTGGGAAAAAAATTGTCACAATATTATTAATATTTATCTTATTTTTGCATTCACAATTCTTTTTAAATAGGTCAAAGGATATTACCTTATATAACCGAACCAATATAGATCATAATCTTTTTATATGTCGAGGAAGCATTAAAACTTTAAAAATAATTGGTTCAATTTATATACTTTAATAAAATTGGTCCAAATCGTGAGAAAAATATCAAATGATCTATAAGTAGGGTTCGAACCTAGTCAAGCATGAAACTATACTTAAAATAACAACTGTAATTTTTTTCGAAATTAAATGGTAGTATAAAGATTTTATTATTGCTAGTGAGTTAATTGTTTGGCTGAATTTGAATGCAAAATTGAAAATTAGTATTCAAGGTTGGTGTTTTGCTGAAAATATCCATAATTATATTCGTGTACAGCTGTATTAACGAATCATATTTCTCTGTTAAGATTATTCAGTAAAATAAAACTGAAAATTTTATACATATTATTTTTACCCAATTAACAAATTTTACTTAGGAACTCATGAGCTTCTAATTGTGTGATTAATAAGTAGAAAATTCGCTGGCTTGATAGCAATCATAATAATTAAAATCCTTAAAGCTCTATACAGATTATGGTATATGAAAAATAACTAAAACAATTATATTTTTTTAAAGATTAAAGGTGTAAAAATTAATAAAAAATAAAAGATAAAGAGAAAATTGTAGAAAAATTGCAGACAACTCATAAAAAAATCATAGAAAAATCATAAAAAAATCATAGAAAAATCATAGAAAAATCATAGAAAAATCATAGAAAAATCATAGAAAAATCATAGAAAAATCATAGAAAATCATAGAAAAATCATAGAAAAATCATAGAAAAATCATAGAAAAATCATAGAAAAATCATAGAAAAATCATAGAAAAATCATAGAAAAATCATAGAAAAATCATAGAAAAATCATAGAAAAATCATAGAAAAATCATAGAAAAATCATAGAAAAATCATAGAAAAATCATAGAAAAATCATAGAAAAATCATAGAAAAATCATAGAAAAATCATAGAAAAATCATAGAAAAATCATAGAAAAATCATAGAAAAATCATAGAAAAATCATAGAAAAATCATAGAAAAATCATAGAAAAAATCATAGAAAAATCATAGAAAAATCATAGAAAAATCATAGAAAAATCATAGAAAAATCATAGAAAAATCATAGAAAAATCATAGAAAAATCATAGAAAAATCATAGAAAAGTCATAGAAAAATCATGAAAAAGGTCTTTAAAAATTATTAGATTATTTTCTACAAGTGGATAACTGTTAGAATAGTTTAAATTCATTTTTATAATGTCAAAACAATTTCAAACCACAACTTGTTACTGCTAGCGAAGTTTTTAATTTGTCACTAAATAATAAAAATATCTTCTTTATACTTTAGTTTTAAAATCAGCTATGTAACATCTAATATCTATTTAATAAACTTGTTTTTAATGTTCTTGCACTTTTATTCTAGCTATAAATGAAATATAATAACAATTATTTGTGTTGATTTAACTATGTGCTTAGTATGATGCCAAGAATTCCGGATTTACTGAAAAAACCTTGAATGATATGAAAATATTAATTGAATTTTGTAGTCACGAGTATTTATACAGAAATCAATGTTTTTCTGAAATCTTACCTTTAATTTTGGTTGATTTTATAAAGAATTACTTATGATGATATAATATTATTATTATAATTTTGAATAATAATAAAATTACTTACAAGGGAAATTCTTCTATTTACATCGCACACGTAGATATAGATAAATATTTTATTGTAGGAGTTATATCTACTTTGCTGCCTTCCTCGTATTGTTAGAGCGGTTATCAAAGACGTTTTCAAAAGGCTCTTGTAAAAAATGCACTAGTGCACTTACCTTTTGTTTTTGCAACTTGGGTTCAAATCCAGATAAAAGGGTGTTCTAATCTTTTTTTTTTTAGAAAAAATCTCGAAAATGAATTACACTGTTTATATTTATTTTAAATACATTTTATTTATCATATAACCCTAATAGTTGGGCAATTTTGTGTTTTAAATATGTACTTATTATTGTTGTTAAAATTCAATGCATCTTTTTTGCAAGGGCAGATATTCATGTTGATTTCATGATATGGGTAGCCGTGCTTGTTTTATTTTTACAATTTTTAATTCAGTAATTATCTATTTCTTGTTTAGTTAAAGTGCAATAGTGAAAATAATAGTTTTAATATAAAATAAATGTAGATCTTACGCGAATAATCTGATAGGTTGGAAAGTAGCGATGATTTTTGTACCATCTTTAATAGAGCTGTAAAAGTAACGAGAAAACCAATACCCGTATGTATTCGTTACTTCAGATCTGACTACCCGTATAAAAATATTCGTTACTCGTTACTTTCGTTACTCTGATGCGAATCTACAGAACATGCGGCGCATGGGCCTCGCACACGTCTAATGCGGATGCGTTGGTTAATTAAATACGTAGCGAATTTGTAATTAGTAACAAAATCGTGTAGTTCACTGAGCATGAGCAATGATGTAAAGTTTTGCAAAATGAAATATTGTCAGACAGAAACATATATATTTTTCTAACACACTAGTAGAAACAATAATAATACTCCATAAAATCATAATTTAAATAAACAAAAACATATTATATTCTTGCAACACGCTAACAGAAAAACAACTATTATACTATTCTATAAAACCAACATAAGTCCCAGTCGGCGTGCGACTTGATAGTCGCTAGCTCGATTCGCATCAGACTCACACTCGCATCTTGCACACCAAACCGGTATGTTTGTGCGATATGCGACGATGCGGATTCGAGTAACGAAGTAACGAAATTTAAAATGCAGTAACGAATTCGTATTTCGTATCTGACCGACTACCCGTTACTGAGTAACGAATACATACGGTTTGCCACAGCTCTAATCTTTAATGAAACAGCAGAACAGAACTCGTATCTACATTAGATATTAGGATTAAAAAAGTAACGATTATGCTATGACCTCCCCAGCAAACGATTTATTTAATATTTATTCAGTTAATTTTTTATTCATGACTTAAATGGAAAATTACTAAATTGTAATAGTAAACATAAGAATGGAACATACTCAAATAATGCAACTTGCATGTGTATCACATCTGACCCCTTTCTAACAAACCATATTACACAGCAATAATTTTTTGCGAGTAAATATCTGATCTGCATACTTGATACTTAAATTAAAATTTTTCATAATTAATTATAAAATATATGACCCTAACTAGAAAAAATATGGTACCAATTTTTGACTTAGGACAACGTAAGATAAAATACTAAAATATTAGAAATTAGCCTGTCTGGATTTTTAAATTTATCTGAAATATATTTTAGGAATTTGATTATGTTAATATCGCAAAATAATAAATACTAGGAATATTAAACGGAAGCAATAACAATTAACAGAGGAGTAAGACAATGGTGCAGTCTATCACCCACTTTGAATAATTTATTATCTATACAGGGTGTAAAGAGCATGAGTGCAAATACTTTAACAGGTTCTAGTGAAGATAAAACAAAAAAAAATAATTAATAATTTGTCTGAACTTCATCATACATCTGTAAAATATTTTAAAGCTTTTTCTAAAGCTTTTTATTAAAAATATAGTCCAATCATACGGTGGCGTTTAATAAAAGCGACTTTATAAAAAATGGGGAATCAGTTTTTAGTAGATACTGAACACGAGAATGAATTTTTCAACCTTTAATTTTTTCGGTAAAAAGTTATAAGCAAAAAAACAGTTTTTTTTTCACAGTAACCAATTAATTACAAAAATTCTCGCTCTTGAGATTGAAATAAAATTCTGAAACATTTGCCTCTTGTGTATTTTAAATGTTATAGCTACTAGGCAATGGCTGTGAATACCACACCCGCATTTTAGATACTCATGAATTTCATGACTAACAGTTCTACATGACCTTTTAGTATTTAGTTTGAATTGGCCTGAATAAAAATAAATGGCGTTTGTTAAGTCGAATTTAAATTTAAAAATTAGTGACTATAATGATTCTTATACGGAATTTGATAAT